TCCCTACTTCCCCTGCCACCTCCACTGGTTTCTGGGCATTTTCTTTGAAGGTTTGTGCTGAAGGACTACTTCTTTGCATGGTGATTGTTAACACAGGAATATTAGCTACTGTGTTATCCCCCCTGAGTTATTTAGCGATCAATTAAATTCACCTGCTATACCAACTCCTGTGGATTAACGTGACCAAACTCTCTAGCAGCTTCTACTCTTACGTACTTAAGAACTGTTTCAGAAAACAGTTGCTGGCTTTGATAAGAAATAATTTGCCCTAATCCCACCCAAAATAATGCAGATATTTGTCATGCACCAACAGTAGTTTTGATTTTATTACCCCCTTCCTTGTGCTCTGCCTTTTACTGTTTCAATTCTTATTTTTGAGATTACTATTACAATTTCTTATAGGCCGTTTTATTCACATGACCTGCTACATACAACTGTATGGATAAAACTTCATGGGTTTCCCTCCTCAGTAACTGGTTGTTTCTCTTGCTTTGCTTCCTTCTGCTCAGCAGGCAACAGTAATTTCTTACCTGAACAGCAGCTGCAGGATAAATGCATGTGGTATTACTTCTCCCCGCCCTACTAGCTTTCATTAGCTTATAGAAATCAGGTCATTTACACTAGCTCTCTCCAACTTTTCCCCAGTGGCTAGTCTTAAAATACTGTCCAAAGAAATTTGTCCTTTGTCCGTATGCTTGCTGGCCTCGTGCCTCCTCAGACATGCATTTTGACCTGTTCCTATTTGTACGGTTCCCAGTTCTCAGTTGTTGGTCTCCTGCGTACAGGGGTTCTATTTCAGAAGAATTTGCTTGTCTCTTGAGATAAACATAGATAATTTATTATTATTATTCATTCCCTATTAAGCTCGAACTTAACATAAATGTTTGTTTTTCTAAGCAGTATTTTTCCTAACCTATTTTATTTCTCTACTTTCTAAATTTAGTTCTCTTTAGAAATGACAAAGGCCGAAACCCTTGGAATTTAAAAAAAACCCTCAAGTTCCAAAAATAATGCAACACCAGACTTTGGAGAGCTTAGTATGATCTGTTCTTTATGTGTTTATGTATAAAATGGGATCCTCGTTCCCCAGTTATTTACATTAAGGATACTGATACAATCTTGCTGGTTAGATATGGAAATTTACCACTACCACAAGCTTCCCCATAAACCTTTAGAAGTCTGTCATCAGTATGTAATGCAGTGTGCTGTAATAATACCCACGCTAGCACTGGCATTGGAAGCAGATGTTGCTGTTATTGACATTACCATTAAGACGAGAAGTTAAGAGCCATATTGCAAATATGGCTCCTCTGTTGCTGCTACATGACTTAGAGCATCAACTGCATCTGAATCTGCTTTAGGTAGTTGTCTGCTCTGACAGATTGGTGTATTTTAACTGAAACAGATCCTACAGCCGCCTGTAGTGGAACATAAACAGGTAATGCTGCACCACCATGTTGCATAGGATGGGATAAGATTAAGACTTTTCAGATGACAGGAATAACACTTAACATAGTTCAAGAACTGTGGCAGAATAAAAATGAACAAGGTTTCCCAGTTCCCAAATTAATACTCTCTATATTGCTCTGTCTCACTGTTCCCCTCTTACCATTGCCTTTCTCCTGCTTGTGAAATTTCTGACTTTTTCTGTGTCCTTAGGCTGTGGCTGAGGAAGGTGTGAGTGTGCTTGTTCACTGCTCTGATGGCTGGGATAGGACAGCCCAGGTTTGCTCTGTAGCGAGCCTTCTATTGGATCCATATTACAGAACTATGAAGGGATTCATGGTAAGCAGGTTCTCTTACACAGAGTAAATGAAGTATTATGGCATTATTTAATATCTTTGTTTTTAATGGAAAGTAAATCTTTCTTAGATATACTTTTTTTTTTTTTTTTAACGTAGGAAGGAAGGTTTCTATCTGTCCAAGTTAGTTTTCCAGCATCTATATGAAATGTTATCAAATGTAAGGATCAGTTGGGCACCTATTAATTTTTTTTCCCTAACCTTGACCAAGAAACTTTCTTGCAGCCCAAGGAACTTTCATGCAAGCAAGAGTTTGTGTTCATTTTCAGGGATCAGTGAAGTTTTGAGCGTCAGAAGTGTGTGTTCTCTAGACATTAGATTGCAATGAGCAGCTATGTTGGAAAATCTGTTCCTTTCCCAAGCAAATCGGCACTGGTAGAGCATCTCAGAATGCTTATCAAGTTACTGGTCACATGTTAAAAAGATGTTTGAGATGTTTTTAGGTTCTATTTTAGAAAATAAAGCTAATTGAAGTTGTGCTGAAGTACTGCCATTCTATCTGCATCCATGAAAAGTGCTACTTTGTCTTGAGTGGGCAGCAGTGCTCATCACTCATTATTTTTCTGCTTATTCTAAAAATTATCTGGGATTCTAATACTGCTTGCTTACATCATTCTTGCTTGTCACTTTTCCGCTTATTCTAAGAATTATCTGGGATTCCAATACTGCTTGTTTACACCACTCTTCTGCCTGCTTCAACGTGTGTCAGCTCTGCTCCACAACACTGAATGCAACATTCTCGTTTTAGGTGTTAATTGAAAAAGACTGGGTCTCCTTTGGTCACAAATTTAACCACAGGTAAGGCAGTGCTAAGATTTTTCTATATATGTTTTATGTAGTCAGTATCTGCTGCCATTCCAGTTTTACTTCCTTGTTGCCTTACAAAGCACATCAACAGAATGCACTTGGGAAACCACCGTACCCTTTTCTCCTACTATATAATTTAGCTGCCTGGAAAATAAAAATGAAATATTTCAGTATCAGTCCTTTCTTATATATTCACTCTAAGACTGCTATTGGGAATCTTGCAGTTGCTACAAGCATTGAGAGATCCATGTGAGAGAAGAGTAGTATATATGGCTTGCAAAACCTCTTTGGACTCCAGCAGATCTTTCAGTATTTCCAAGACTCCCCACATAAGTCTCTTTTCTGCAAAGTCTATGTCTTCCAGGACAGTAAATAACCTTAGGCATGTCTGTGAGTTATCTATTTTGCAAAGTATGCTCTTCCTATTACACTCTGTTCTAATGAAAACAGTAGGATTTGTTCAGAAACATCAGGTAAAGTGAAGAGGAAAGTTATCTATTTGGACAAGTTATTTTGTACATCCAATATGTAAATGCTATAATGTAATGAAAAATTTTGAAGACTTTATATATTTAAACATGAATAAATATCCATATTTTCTTTCTTTCTTGTATTTTCTTTTTGTTTCTGTAAAAATAAAAAAATGCAATTTTTATATTGGAGTTTAATTATATAGCTTGATTTGAATATAAATTTTTTCCAGCTTCAAAAAACATAACAAAACTTTCAGGAAATCTGTGCAGCTCCACACCACCTGTAAAATTCCAGCAGGAACTACTACATTTAATATGATACTGTCAGATGTCTATTATTATCATTGGTGAAAGATATTATGAAATGTAATCACCACTGATAGCTTTGGTTTGCAGTACTATATTGCTATATTTTCTTTGATGCATAATAATAGAAGTTTCAATTTTAGACATTTTTGGAATACCACTCTGTTGGCATATGTGTATATATGTGCAACGTGTATACACACATACATTAGACAATCAGAATAATTGATTGAAAAATGGTTCTTCCTATTATGTAGACTTATATTTTTTACTTCTATGTGTTTTATCTTTTCAGACTCCTTTTCTTCATTGCAAGTGGTTCCAAGAGATATTTTTGTAGACAGAAAGTTTGATGTTCACTTGACAGTTACAGTAGCATGTAAACACTTCCCACTTTCTAAAAATTTCACCAAGAGAGGGCAGCTTTAAACTGTTTTCTGCCAAGGTTATTCTGTTCCTCTTCTCAGTTTTCTGGTTTTGGGAATGGTCTACTATTAAGCAACTGTCTAAGATACGTTTTGTCATTACGTCATTGCAGTCATTCTTACGATGACTTATGTTACTGTAGTATAGCTTTACATTAATAGCATTAGAACATGGCTATTCAACAGCCAGCTGTTAGTAACTGTAAGGCAACAAGACACCTGTAAAAGGTTTTTTTTGTTATTTGCATTTGATAAATTCTGCCTTCGTTCTGCTCCATGAGTCTTGCATCATTTTTGTAAGTAAAAAAAATACACTAGTAGTTGAGATTTTAGAACTAAATGCCGATGCTGTAACTTGCACACTAAAAGAGGGGGGATTGTTTTCATTAGTGTTCAGTTTTCCTAGAGGATTTCAGGTTATAATTGAAAGTATCTTGTCTTGTTTCAGGTATGGCAATTTAGATGGTGATCCGAAGGAGATATCCCCTGTTATTGACCAGTTCATCGAGTGTGTTTGGCAATTAATGGAACAGTTTCCTTGTGCCTTTGAATTCAACGAGAGATTCCTTATCCACATACAGCATCATATCTATTCTTGCCAGTTTGGGAACTTTCTGTGCAATAGCCAGAAGGAGAGACGAGAGCTGAAGTATGAAAGTCTTTTCTTCCACATGTGGGGTGTGTGAGTGGTGGTGTACTGAGGAGTCAGGCATCCACCATCCTGTGTGTACGTGCCTTCGTAAGGCGCAGGGTGCAGTGTAGACCTCTTGGTGGTCGTCTTCTGGCAACACAGATTAATAACAAAAAAAGCTGATCCTCTGCAATGTGGCCCTGCTGGGAGTGTAATCCTTGGTGTGCGTGATGGGGATTAGCGAAAACCGACAGGAGCATTAGCCCTTCAGCCAGGTGGCCCTGCCTTTACTGCAGCATTAACACCACACAAGGCAAGCTGTCACTGGAGCTCTAATACAAGATGATAGTAACTCTAGTGAAATTCTCAGTTTAGGAGTCACTGCTCTTCTGTGTTTTAACCTGTCTTTGAATCTCATGTCAGGATGCTTTAGTCCTGATGTCCTGGTTACTTTCTATAAACAGTCTTTTTGTTTGGTAGCCCACCCTTGGCCTGAGTCAGCAAACTATCCTTCTGCTGGCTGGCCCCAAAACAACTATGAATTAATCCACCTGCCCTCAGGCACAAACAGAGACAATAATATAATTCCTGGCAGTGCTGATGTTTGTATTTGCTTCCCGGGGCCCTGGCTCCCTTGTGATCCCCACCGCTTTTCCCATGCATCCTGATCACAGTGATGAGAGGAAGGTGGGAGTTACTGCTCGCTGCTGCCATTTGGGCCCCTTCACCACTCACACACAGAGCAGCCTCAGTGCCATGGTCCATTTAAAATCAAAACCTTCAGGGGTCACCATATCCCAAGACCTAACTGCAAGAGAAATTGCAACTCAGTGGTGTAGGAGTGCTTTTAAACATGGGGATCACTTTGGTGTGGGGACCAGTTTGAAAGCTAGTTTTATGGAAGTGATCCTCTCTCCATCTCTCAAAGGAACTTGTCTCTCCACCTTCTCTCTCCAGCTGCTCTGGATTTATGGGAGATTGATTGGGTTTTGCCATTAGTGACCAACAAAGGAATATATGTCTCCATTCTTTTACATTTATAACTTAAGCCTAATTCTGTTAAGGAAGTATAAAGCTGATTGTAAATGAGTAGTACAGAGCACTAGAATATCACATCTAAGCTTTGGCTATACCTGAATTGTAGTAGAGACTTTAATATCTTTTTATTTAATATATTTTTTTCAGAATCCATGAACGAACATATTCATTGTGGGCTCACTTGTGGAAAAACCGTGCTGATTACCTGAATCCTTTGTACAGACCAGACCACAGTCAAACCCAAGGGACCCTGCGCCCACAGATGGCTCCATGCAACTTCTTGTACAAGTAGGTGGTATCACGTGCTACTGAGAATTGTAGGATGTGTTAGTACAGAACAGAGTGCCTTTCTATTTAAGTATTTCTCATTCCATAAGGTAGCTTATAGAGTAAATTCAGTCTCAGATGCAATGTGTTCATTCCTTGCGTGCTCATAGTCAGCCAACACCTCTGCATCATTCCACAACAGAGTATTAGTCTGAAAAGAAGCTTAAGATTAAAGCTATATTGATAGTTGTGTGTCCTAATTTCATGGTTACTCACTTTTTCCACTGAGAAATCTCTTTCAGTTCTGTTCTCGTCTGTGGTTTCTAAATTTAAAATCGCTTCAACTTCTTCTGTTTCAAGATTTTGTGATGTTTATTTGGATCAATTGGTGTCAAAAATAAAAAGGAGCATTTCAAAAAATCATACGGTTTCATTGCTAAAACAAGTGTTTAGTAAAACAAAGCAGACCTTCCCCATGTATACACAGTGTTACTTCTTTTTTAAAATGTAACAAAATATCATAATTTTAGAAATATTACTATTGACCTGCTGACTTGAGTAATTAATTGTGCCATTTATCTTAACAAACTTCAGGAGAACTTGAATAGGAATTCATGAAAACTGTGATGGAAGTAAAACGGATCCATTTGTTTTCCAGATGCAAGTAAAAGCACCAGTTAAAAAGTCGATAAATGTCCTAAATGATAGAAACTGCTTTCATGTATACTATTCCAGGTCACATCCACTTTAAAACAATTTAAAAATAGTCATTAATCTTATTTTTTAGGATAGTGGGATTTATAAAAGGAGTAGTGATACTTGCAGATCCTCCATCGGATGAGTAATCCTGATGATTTTAGTAGAATTACTTGGGTGTGTAAAGATTTCCAAGCATGAGCTATCAGATGATAAACTTAAGGGGGGATGTGACTTAGTATACTGTTGGGGTAGGAATAATAAACCACCAAGGAGCATGCACGTGCTCCGAAAACATGGGTCAGCTTCTTGGCTGGAGAGCTGCAGCTGAGGGCAGGTCTCTCAGTTACTTAACCTGTCTGGTGAACCAGTTACGTACTCCAAGTCTGGCTGTGGCCATGTATTGCCAGGAAGGCAGAAGAGAGGAGGAGTGCTAGATTAAGCTACGGACGTACAGATCAAGTCCTTTCCTCCTGAAAAATTAAAAAATCCACTCAGTTGTTTAACCAAAGGTTTGTCAAGTAATTCCACAGAAGAGAAGAGAACATAATGTGCTTCATGCAATTTCCACAGATTAGTTTAAAAGGTCAGTTTAAATTTAAGAGAACAGGATGCCATACTGGTTTTTACTCCTGATTTTTAACTCTTCTTTAGAGAGGAAAAAAAAACTGTTAACCAGCTGCACCTTACACCTTCCCTCAGACCCAGACAAAAACAAGCATAGAGAATTTCAAAGCTGACTTCATGGGAAGTTAACGGTTGAGAACTAGGATTACAAAAAACTGTCTTTAACCTTGGCTGTCCTATAGGTGCCATTGCCCTAAGGCCCACAGTGTAGAATGATACAATAATACAGCAAAAGTTTGCCTTCAGTGAACCACCCTTAGCCAGGCGATCCAAGTCAAAGGTGTGTGTTTAAGTCTTCTGAGGCCACTCCACCAAATAAGAAAATTGCTGATCTTCCCATCAATTCCCAGGTTCTGGAGTGGTATGTACAACCGCTTTGAAAAGGGGCTGCATCCTCGACAGTCAGTTACTGACTATCTGATGGCAGTGAAGGAAGAAACTCAGCAGCTGGAAGAAGAGCTGGAGGTCTTAGGAGAGGTAATAAACACTTGCTCTCCATGCCCCAGACTTCAACTGATGGTGAATGAAACGCAACTCCACATGCTGCAGAGTCCCCTACATACTACATCCTTTCCCAGCATGAGGATGTTCAGCTGTCGTCTTTGTTCTCTCATAAATTACTACTAATGTGTTGCATTTAAGACACAAGACTGGACTTTTTTTCTTCGGGGTTAAAATTTCACCTGTGTTGGTGCACAAGTACTAACCCTGAAAGAAGTTTTATATCCTTCTATAACTCAGAAGGAATTGTAACTCAAGGATGCTGTAATTCAGCATTGGTTTGTGGTCAATTGTGCACTTCTCACACGCCGTATATGCAAATAGGTAGTTTTAAAGGGTACCAATTTGGTTGGGCTCCAAACTTAGTCTAAAAAGGCAAAGACACATAAGAGGACTACTAGGCTCTAAACATGTCCATACTGTTTTCTTTATTTCAGAGGTTGGCGAATCTTCAGAAATCACAATTAAATGATAATGAAGTGAAGAGTAAGCAACAAGACCGAAGCAAACAGCTAGGGCTTTCTACTTCCAACAACAGCTTAGCTAACACTCCCCAGGAGTATAGCAATGATCTGAAGTCATTCCCATCCCGGAGCCCTTCACAAGGGGACGAAGAAGATTCAGCCCTGATTTTGACACAGGACAACCTGAAAAGCTCTGATCCTGACCTCTCAGCTAACAGTGATCAGGAGTCTGGTGTGGAGGACTTAAGCTGTAGGTCCCCAAGCGGAGGTGGCTGCTTGCCTAGTGAAGACAGTGGCAAGGATTCAGATGAGGCTGTATTTCTGGCAGTCTGAAATACCTTCACGACAGCAAGGATCCACACAAAGTTGAGTCTTTTGCAGTCTGGAATGACATCTTGTCATCAGATGAACAACGGGAGTGGTCTGTGTCCTAAAGAAACAATCCAAAGAAAGGGAACTGTGCAATTGTGTAAGTAAAGACCTAAGCAGAACAAGCCATTATTAGTTTTAAGACATAATGCTAAAGAAAGATAATAGCTGCTGTTGTATTTAGTCAAGCCAATGTGGTATCTGTTTTACCTTCATCAATGCTGCACATAATTATTCCTTACTTTGTACATTTCCATAGTTAGTTATTGTACAAAACAATAGTTCTCCTCCAAAGACATGAAATTCCAAAGTACTCTTACACGTAGGGACGAGGTTGAAGATTCATTAGTGTTAGCCTTACTGGTGAATCAGTCAAAACTTATTTTTGTAGAGCTCTTAACCTTCAGATGTATTGTGTATTTTCTCCACTTCTTTTTTTTTCATGGGAGGTGTTAAATTTTGAATTCCAAGAATTATTTTGCATATTCTCCTACTAGAATCCTTTACAGCAAAGTAAAACTAACAAATAGACATGCTTGCTTAGGGGACAAATGAAGCTTCAATCCTGCAAAAATATCCTTCAGTAAGCAGCTGGTACTGCTGCACATGAATTCATCCCATTTGTACTCAACTCCCAACCAACAGTACAGTAGTTTGTGTGAACAAAAATTCATGGAATGTAACAATAGTTCCACAGTCTTTGGGGTAAAGCATCTCTTTATAATGAAAGGTACGTTAGGCAGTATACTCTAGCTTCTTTATGTTTTGTTCTCAAGTTTGATTGTTTACATCTCACCCTTCTTCCAAACTGCCTACATAAGATAGAAATACAAAATTTTAAAAGTAATAAACCTCCAAATTCTCCAGCCTATTTTGATTCCTACTTGAAAATGTTTTATTTGAGTGGGAGCGAAGTACATATACAGTAGGAGAGAAGAGGGAATCTGAAGTCACTCTTGAAAATCCCTTATGAATGCATCACTCCAAATTCAGAATTAAAGGAAGGTTATGCCTATAAAGTTAACTGTCATAAAGAATATTTCTTCCCAATTTTATTGTTCCAAATAAACTAACCACAACCACGAGTTGTTTTTTTATCCTTACACAAAATTTCCCTTTTAGTATTTGAAATAAACTAACCACAACCACGAGTTGTTTTTTTATCCTTACACAAAATTTCCCTTTTAGTATTTGCCAACCTGAACAGAGCATGGCAATGCTAATTTAAGAAAAAGACTGATTCACCACAACAGAAAGTTTCGTCTTGTTTAAAAGTTTTCAACGTTTTTAAGAGAAGAGTAATAGGCTTTCATAATCATAAGTAGAGAAGTAAACCATTGAAAAATATTTAAAATTTCGGATGTTTTGAAACTCACTAAAAAGGCTTCCATATCAGGATGTAGTTCCTCAAGTTTGTTGTTTTGTTTTTTAATTAAAGCAAGCAGCGAAAAATATAATCCATATCGCTGTTCTTACCTGCTTGGAGACAATGCGGTATTGAACTCTATAGTAAAGCAAAGCAGTAGTAATGTAAGTTTACTTTGTTTGCATTTCATACTATTACTTCAAATATACTTACAGGCAGAATTAAATTATATAAATATACCTCAATTTAGAAGCTTCGGATTTTATTATTCAGTCTGCTTTTATGGAATGACTTTTCATTCTGTTCTATGAACTTATGTCATTAAAAATGAGTAGGTAAACTTCAGTATTACTAATATCCTCTTAAGGGAACTGCTGTCTTGGAACAAATAATTCCATTCCTAACAGCAAGATATATCTTAATATTATACTGGAAAGGCCAGATCCTCAATTTGATAAATCACTGCAGCTCAGTTGAAATAAATACAGCTATAATTTACACTCTGTTGAGAATCTAGCCTTCTGTTTTTTAATCTTCGTGAATTTTTAATAAATGAAGGCCCTGATTTTAATTGCATTTTTAAAAATGTTTCATATTTTGAACATTGTCTGTAAAATTTACGGTATTAAAGGAGATTTTGAATGTTTTTTCTCAAACTAAAGCTGCATGCTGCTAAGTCAGCAATGAACGCAAAACACACAAATATTCTGCCTAAAAATGAGTGTGAAAATGGGCATTACTGCACCTTTGAAACGTGAAATTGTGTATGATAGCATTGTGTCCTATTAGACATGTCTAGAAATAAATGCAGAACAAGAATATATGCAAATTCAAAATACTGTCTTCATGTCGCTTGTGCAACTCCTTTTAACTACCTTTACAACTTCAATATCAACATATTAACATTTTATATTAAGCCTTTACTTCACAGCCCTCTGTGATGTGTCTTTCACTCCTTGGAATTTTGCGTTACTTATTACTGTTGTCATTGTAATGCACGTATTTGTGGCACTATTAGCCTGCTGAGAAACACTTTCAAATAAACACTTAAGTCATTTAGTGTTGTGTTATTTCACACCAGTGAATGAAACAAAGGTTTGCTTTCTCAGTTTTTGTAATATAGTTCTTCATTTATTCAAGAGGCACTTTGTCACTGAGATCAAGGGATTTTTGTATCTTCCCTAGTTCAATACTTGAATCCAGTAGTTTAAGCTGTGGAGGAATCTAGAACTGATAACTCAGAAAACTGAGACTCCTTTCAACTCAGTTAATTATATGGGCGTGTGTTACACCCCTTTATTTTTTATGTTCTTTAGGGAATGCGAAACAAAAAGGACGAGAAAACCACCCTATGAACCACATGTGATTTCTTGTAGTCCTTGTGGGGATCTTCCCTCTGTTGCAAATCCTTGCAAGTTTGGCACAAGCCCATTGGAATTTGAAATAGGACAGACATGAACACAACAAACTGCTGGAAAGAAAGGATTAGAAGAGCATTACAGATTTTTGTGGTGTAATTTTAGCTCACTGCATTCAGGCTGTTATTTAGTATGAAAATACATCTAAAGGACACTGAAAGCAATGGGATCAAACAGCTGACGTTTCCTCTACAAAAGATCACCATTTAAAGAACAGAAAGAAAACGTATTCACTAGCTGCTTTTATTGGTAGCTGCTTTTATTGGTTTACCCCATATACAAAGGGGGTAAACTAGTAATGGATTCTGAGAAGCTGAGGAATAAAATTAAGAAGTTGGAGGGCACAACTCAGACCAAAGGATATCATTAGAAGTAAGAAGAGAAAAAGTAAATAAGGGAGGCAGGGAAGGAAAGCTCTTTGTAAAATTAGCAGTAATGCAGGGAACCACATTCTTTGAAGAAAGGGGTAAGCCAGGGCACGAGTTTACAAAGCATTAAAGATGTCTGATGACACAAACTAGTAATAATTAAAACCCATCAGCAACAAGGAGGTAACCTTTGCAACGAAGATAAGCATTTTGTCACTGATGACCAGCTAACTTGATGCTTTTATGCGGACACTGCCCTGATCTGCACACAGAGTCCTCGGGTTTGTCACAAACATCATACTCAAGGTAACGGGCTGCTGCTGCGTGCAGGCTGAAGGCTGGGTGCAGCTTTTAGGTCGGCTGGTCACCCTTACACTCTTGCAAGTGCAGAGACAGGTAAACACCACGGTGACTAAAAAGTCCTCCAAGGATAGGTAAGTCACTGACAATTCATTTGAGAACATGTGGTGGGGTAAGTTTAAAGTAAGCCAACTGATCACAGTAATAAGTCCAGTAAAAAAGTCTGCCAAGGATCTAGGGCCAATCATACAGCAAACGCCGAATTCGAAGAGCCCAGAAACATTGCCAGAGAATGGGGTGATGAGAAGGAAAGGTAAAATAAGCATTCAACTTTACTTGTATTATTTAAATTGCCAGTAAAGCACCTGGAGCCAGCAAATCAAATCATGTTAAATCTTAAATAAAATTTAGTGGTCTTTTAATATATACCATTCTGGAAAGAAGCTAATGAAACCTTCTAAGTCCACTAGAATTTTGTGACTGAATTCACACAAGGATTCATTTTTAAATCTGCTGGTTGCCAAGGTTATTCAGATTAATTTATTCTGTTTCTGAAGATGACAGTTCTTTATGTATTCCCTTACTATTGATATAGAAGCTTCCTTTGTAGCTTATTACTACATATAAATTTGAACCCTGCAGGTATCTGACCAAAACAAGGCATTTACAAAAGCAGTAGCCAGAGATGCAATATGGGTTTTCAAAGCCCATTTTAGTGAAGGTGGCTCCAGGAATTACTGCTGTTGAAAGGATTAAACAGGAAAAGCTCAAATCACTACAAACAAAAATTAAAAGTTTGTCCTTGAGTAGCTTACTGCATCCCTTTCCAACACAATTCTGTATCCACCCAAAAGATCCTGCAACACCCAACTCCATCCATAAATTAGACAATTACGAGACACATTAAAAATCCCAAAGCCTTTATTTGTAAGATTAACACATCACAGTATTTACTGTCCAGAATAAGGTACACAATAAGGCTGTGATAACTGACTTAACTTTCTTACCAGAGTTTTAATTCAGTTTTACCTGAAGGTCTCTTAAAACTCTCTTTTGGAAAGATTTAGCCTAGTCTCTGAAGGAAGTAGTAAGAACTTGGACAGAAACATGACTAAAAGATTTCTAACTTCTGCATTTGGTCAGGGTCCAAAGTGGTAAAGCTACAGGTGTATGTACAGAGCAAACAACAGATCTACAGTAGATCATTAGATACTGCTTAGAACTAACTTTATTATAGTCTCTTGCTTGTAGTGGTGGCTAGCATAGCTGTATGTGCCTGATAATCCTTGTCTTTCAGAATGGTTGGCATGTCAAACACACCGTGAAATCTAGGAAAACGTTCTTCTATAAGCCCCAGCAGAATGCACAATTAACACCACTTGTATACAAGACTGTACTAAAGCAAAACCTACTTGACTTCAGACTTATGTTTTAAACTTTCTCTGGTCTATAATAGCATCAGTTACAATTCCTATATGGAGAATTTGGTTCTGGATTTAAGTAGTCACTTCACTCAGGGAGGAACAAGATGCCTAAACTCAGCTATAGAAAACATTTAGCATACAGACCAGGTATTACAATCAGGCAAAATCCAGACTCAATTAGCAGTTACCATACAGAATGTACCCTCACCCCCACTCCAAACTACTGCAACACCAGAGACAAGTCACCTCCTTACTCTTGTATTTCTTGCTCATTTATTTCATTTTTCCACTTAGCAGAACACCTCAGATGGGCATGACATTGTGCAAGGCTCTCCAGAAACAAGTCACTGTACGTAGCCTATTACTCCAGGTTGCTTAAGAGTTCACTTGACACATTTCAAAAGATTTTAGAATATGCATCTAACAGCAGCTGCCATTCTTGTACACTTCATAGAGAACTATTTAAAGCTTTACATATTTTGGATTTACACCCACATTCCACATTTCGGAAAAATAAGGTAAGGAATGTGCTTAACAGTGAACTACCAGCATGCTAGAAGCCAAAAAACCTGACTCCGACAGAGTGTTATCAGTGTTCTATGAAATCTTCTGGTGAAAGTTATGAAGATCACCTAGAAAGAAAAACGTTCTCATGGGCACAATCAGTGTAGGACTAAAAGAAATGAAAAAAAAACCCAAAACAACACAACAACGAACACCAACAAACCAGCAGGAGGTTGCTTGTCCTTTAAAGGCCAGAAACAGGCTGGCCATTCCTGTGTGTGACAGGATACCCGTAGCTAACCCAGTACACCATTGCTCAACACAGAGACTTCTGTGCTTCTTTTCTAGAGGATAGGTTTGTGACTGGAGAGGGACTAAAAATAGCGAAAAAAATCCTAAGAATGGGAACAACGATATGAGAGAGAGAATAGAAAGGGGAAAAAAGAGAAGACCTTAAACTTTCATATCCCTGAACAAGAAACACTTTACTAAGAACTCACATTGAACAGTGACATTTTCTTCTAGACTCTCCTCCACTGCCATCAGAAAGACTCCATGGAGAAGTCCTGAATTTGTAAATTCGCTCACAAAAGTAACATAACAGGCAAAGCTGAAGTGTTGAGAACTTGTAATAGTTTGGGAAGCAAATCCCCTGAAGGTGACCTGGCTAGAGAATTCAGCCACGGTACAGCACCATAATACACCACATAACATCCAACAGGAGGAGGCATATGAGGACAGAAGTCTGTCCTCATGCCATTATAAAATGTATAAAGAAGATACTAGCCCAACTCAGGAAGAGCACCAGATGTTTGGTCATCTTTTCCTTTCTCTGCTTACAAAGAAGAAACAACAACAAAAAAACAGCCCTGTACAGAATTGTGTGTCTAGTTACGATTGTTAGCTAGATACTCAAAAAAAGATCCAAAAAAACCTTGTACACTCAGGATAAAAACAGACAGTTTGCCAGGAAAGTCACACTGATAACTTAAATCTAACTCTTCTCCAGAGCTGCAGAAATCACACTACTCAGAGATCCAAGTCCAGAACTACCTGGAAACCTACTGTCCCAGTTTTAGCTGGCACCGGGTTAGCTCTTCTTTTTAGCAGCTAGAAGAGCTCCGTGTTTTGGTTTTACTCAGAGGCTCACTCTGAGAAGAACGTTGATAGCAAGCTGATGTTTGTGGTTGGACGTGAAACTCCAAGGACTTTTCAGTGTGCCGGAGTGCAGAAGCACGGCGGGATAAGGGGGGAGCATAGTTGGGACAAGGGGGACACGATTCCCTTTGTGATTTGTTGTGGAATTTAAGACTGAGGGCCAAACTGGCCAATTAGTATTCCATATCACGCAGTGTCATGCCCAGTATAAAAGTGAGGGGCAGCCGGACAGAAGGGCTTTTGCGCTTTGGCTCTTTCGCCGCTTTTGCTCTTTTGCGCTTGCTGTGTTTTTGCTCTGTTTTTCTTTCTTTTTTTCCACCACAAATCAACATTCTTCTCAGAGTGAGCCTCTGAGTAAAACCAAAACACGGAGCTCTTCTAGCTGCTAAAAAGAAGAGCTAACCCGGTCCCAGCTAAAACTGGGACACCTACACAATCTCCTTTTAATTAGGGCTTTAGTTAACACATTAGCTGGAGTGCTATGTCAATACACAGGCAGTATTATGAGCAGTCAGCAGAAAATGTTTTTTTGGAATAATAAGATACTCTAAAATTATTGCTTAATCATGGCACTTACAACCTGTTTATTTTTTCAGGCACCAAAGCATCATCTTTGATTTGGACCATAGTTCTATTTTCTTGGGACATCTAATCTCAGAATTTGGACCAGCTTTACAAAGAAAAATCCCATCAAATATCAGTGAATACTCACTCTGAAAGGCAGTACTTGAGACAGACAACCACAGTACTGTCAAGTATGACAGGCCTAAGACTAAAGCTCCATATGAAGATTAACTAGCCTGTGGAACAGACTTCGTGATTTTAATAGCTTCAAATTTACTCACTTTTTTCCAACTCACTCGGACTGACGTGCTTTAGTTTGAGACTTGAATCTGTGATGTTCTGTGACCCTATCTGGGCAGTGTCTTGGCTAAGAGGTTTATCTCCACACTGCTTCCTGACAAGAAAGAAGCAGGATTCCTGAGACATGACTTAATCAAGTGCTTTATCTTATTTATCTCTCAGAAGCGTACAATTCCTTCTATTCTTCTGGAACTTGACTGTCTCCATGAAAACCCACTGACAAGGTTAAGAAAAAGAATTGTATCTTTTTGCAAGAGCAAGAGAGAACATACATGCATGTATTTAGGGGTTGTATTTTTCTCCTATAGAATACTGCACTTGGTCCTACCCATTCTCACCAAATATATCCCCATCTTAAAAAAAAGTCAGCTCACCAGAAGCAAGATTCAGTGATCAAAGGGCAGAATTAAGTCTCACTTCCAAATTCTATCACTGGCCTTAACACACCACACTATGCAACTCCAGGCAAATTAGTTTCTTTGTTCCTTAAAATTAGGAAAAAATAACTGCTACTTCACAAAGAACTTCAGAACTAGTTTTTGTGAAGTGCTTTCAAGTTCCTCACATGATGAATATATTCAAATTGCATAAAACAGAAACTGGGAGGTGACCTGATTATTCTTCCTTTAAGTGAAAAAAAAAAAAGAAAATGAAATTGTTAGAAGAAAGCCATGTTTAATTACAGTGGTAGGTACCAAGCCACTCCTGAAATCAAGTGCATCAGCGCTACTGAGCATCATACCAAATCTATGCAGAGATCATTTATTCTATTTTGATTCCAATATAATTTGTTCCAACATATCGTTTGCTTAATCCAAATCTACTTACCCAAAACACAATACAGGCTATACTTAGTTCTGTATTATTATTTAACAGTAAAAAACTTGTTCTTAAACATTTTGGCTTCAAGGAAAGACAGCTTGTGAATCCACTGACAATCTCAAATTATTAACTTCTTCAGTTTCCAAAGTCCTATCACCACTTAACTCAAACTTTTCCACAGATCAAGCCAAATCTATGTTTAAAGTTCAAAATACAAAAGATATGAATTATGTTTTTATAAAAATGTAAAAAGCTAGTCAAAATTACATGTTTAGATATTTAATCTCTGAAGAATGGACTATAGCAGCAAGAACTTAAATACAGTAAGAACTATCAACAATAAATACAAGAAATTAGTGCAAAGATTGCAATAGAAGGATTCTTGAGTACAATGAGAATATAAAGAGACATTCTAATTTGTACAAAAACCATCCCAACTCTGTATACAATCTCTTCTATAAATACAACCATATAAGATGAAATGCTTATTTGCAAATAATAGTTATTAAAAAGTGTGCTTTATTGGGTTTTTCACTCATTCTCTTGGCAGGTGTAGTTTGCAGGAAGCCTGTAAAGACAAATTTCCATAGTTAGATATTTTAACTCCTCCAGAAGTTATGTTTTAAATACAATAACAACAGCTGCAGTACATACTTGATTTCCACAGAAAGCATTATTAGAACACTAAGCATTGTAACAAATCCATTTGCAGTTAGCGATTTGTTAAGTGTGTGACAATGAGGTCAAGAGTAAAAAAAAAAAAAAATTCACCACAAATATTAAAAACAGCAGTTTACCTATAGCGGAGCATGAAATTGGCTGTGCATTGCTATTGTCTGTTGAAGTTTTTCCTCTTTGGCTCGTCTACAATGGCAGAGCTACAAAATGAGACATAGGAAGAGTAAATTCTGAAAGGAATTTTTTACAATGCATGCTACAGTTTCTCTTAACGATTCAGCTACTTTGCAGTCTCTTTGAAAAAGGAAAGCTCTGTGAACCACCTCCCTTCCAAGCTTCAGGCTGAACAACTGCCTACACTGACATCATTATTCTATTCACAACTGCTTACAAAAGAATTCTTTCCTATGTTATGAAACGCATTTATCAGGCATCTTTAAAGAAAGGTACGCTACCCGCTAAGATGCTCTTGTCCCAACATGAGCAAGAAGGTGGTTTTCGAACTTCAGTTACTTTTTTGGTGATAGTCATCAACAGAATAATTAGTTTAAGAAGTTTAATACATTAAACATTAAGGTTGCTTAATATAACATGTCGTTCTATGTCGAGCTACCAAATTTGAAATTGTCCACGTGGCCATCTTCCCTATATTGATACAGGATATAGAAGAAGTGGCACAAAAATATCTGCAACAATGCATGACCAGGGTCTAATGCAGGAGATCCCTCACTCCTGTCTTAAAAATAGGAGCCTTTAGAATGCAGATTATATTCTACATAGACTGAGGTCACTTAGGGATATATTTTTCTTCTGTTGGAGCTTACTAAAGCACTGTTCTGTATCACTGCTCAAAGTCTTAAGTTTATTCACTATGTGTTGTGTATCTCTCAGATTAGAATGATCTGTATACTACATACCGTCCTCTTTTCCATGAAACTACTAAGAAAGTCATCTATTTCTGTTTTGCCTTCCAAGAAGTCTTCTGCAATAGTGTCAGATTCCTCTTCAGCTTCATGAGCAGCTACCTTAAGTCTCGCTTGCAGAGCACTTGGACTGCAACTCTAAGAAAATAAAAACTCCTATGTAATATTAAACTGTCCATCAAAACCTGCATTTCCAAAAAGAAAGACAAATGACTATATAAATATGGAATATGTGAATAGAGTATTACTATTACATAAAAGCCTGAGTGACCAGATGAAGCTTCATCTCCAATAAATAGCTTGAACTAGAAAGGATTCAATGTGAGAAAAGCATTGCTAGTTTAGGTCTGGATTCACAATCATACTCACAAATGTGTAAAGCTTTTCAACTTTTACCCTATGCTGTACAAATCATCCAACTTGGAAATCTGACAGGTTCTCGAGTGCATGATTTCTGAGCAGAACTAGTATTTCATGTATCTTCAATAAATAGGGTCTACTTTTGAAACTCAGTAGTAAACCTGAGAAGTATAAAAAGGTAAAAAAGCACTTACTGCCCAGCTTTTAAATACCCTTGAAATGACTGTGGAGAGGAAGACAAGAAGGAAAAAGCACCTACTCAAGGAGTAGATGGGCTCCTAATCTAAACCAGTATACTCATTTTTCTGTTCTTATAAACCTCAAACCTTATTTCTGTTTATTGCACATAATTTCATTATTTTTCCTCTAATATATTTGGGCAGTTAATCAGAACGTGATTCACGTCTTCAGTAGGAGTCTGTACAGAGCCAGAACTGTAAACTTAAGATATTTATAGATTTTAGATGCCTGGACTACCCTTCATCTACCCCACAAAAAATATTTCACTTATGTACGTAAAACTGTAATAGAATCAGAAACTTCCTGTTAAATTAATCTTGTGCAAAATAATGTTTGCTCTAATAAAAGATGACTAAAATTCACCCACAGTACAAGCAAAAAGACTTGTCTGGAAGGAGACTTTGAAGGAGAAATAACAGGAGATACCAGGGAGTGCATAGTGAACATCAATACATGAAGATACAGCATATGTGGAAAAACAGTGCAAAAATTCAGCTGTAACTCCCCAACTCTCAGCCTCCTAACCATCATTAAATTGAACCAGCGAATCTAACTTAGAAAACACAACAGTAATATAGCAGTGGGGTATTATGTCCTGTTCTTAAGTAGTTTCTTACAGAAATAGAAAGTTTCTCAATGGCAAGTATCTCTGCCCACTTTAAAGCCAACTTTCATCACAAAGAAAGGAGGCATTAGGAGTCAAACTATTTTGATTTTCAAGAGGAAACATTTAATTCCTTTAGATATTTCAATGGACTGCTGTACTCTCAGGTGACAAGTCTTGCAAATAACGAAGATTTAAGTGCAGAAATTGGTTAATGAGAAGTTACATGTTTTAATGCATATCCTGGTAAACATACTAAGAAATTACTCCCCTTCCCCAAATTGCTTTCTGAAGTAATGACTTCACCCTATTTGCACTTTAGAATGCGCAAAGTTTGGCAGCACGTGTAATATGTTGCCCAAAGTAAGCATACAAAAGGAATCGCAGAATTTAAGTTTCTAAAGCAATGGTTTTAATAATTTTCATCTGGTACAGTTTCACAAGCTTAGTATGTTAAATGAGTATCATTAATTAAACAAGTCTTCTATAAAAATAATTCCTATTCTTAAAACTGCTTTGACCCAGGACTGCACTTAAGAACAGCTCTAAATACTCATCACAGTCCTTTCTTCCAGCTTTGCTTCTGTTGTAGCATGAAAAAAACAAACCACAAAACACCCAAAAAAACAGTAGTGCAATCGCAACACTGTTTTGCTTTCAAACTGTTTGGTACTTCAACTCATTTTATGTCATACTTGATGTGAATCTATTTCATACAAAATCAGTTTAACCAGAAGAATATTCTTTATGGATAAAGATAAATAAAACTGAAGTTTTGATTTGTAAGTATTCTTAAAGGATAATATGATACAGAGATTTTACCTCACTAAGTTCATGCTGTCTTTGCATCTTTTTTTCAAAGGCTGCTTTCATCTGTGTGAGTTGCTCATACTGGAAGGAAGAAGAAAAAGAACATTTTCCCCCTGAAAAAACCAGAATATTACAACTAATATTTCTGAAAAAGAATTTATTGTTCACTTACTTTGTCCAACACCATCTGTCTTTTTGCCTCGAGACTAGGCTCCAGCAACAAGTTTTTTTCTGTAAAATAAAGTCACTATTACTATTTTTTTTAAAGGATTCAGTTTGCAGAACACAGCCACACCTGCTCATATTTTGACATCTTACTTGCCAGCTCTTCAATGCTTTTCACTAACTCATCTCTATCAGCAATGACTTGCTTCAGTTGTGGTAGAGTCACAAACTGTTCCAGTAACACTTCCTCTTGCTCGTTCATACTGGTCAGCTGCGATATACTATATTCAAACAGAAAGAAAGCAGATTTAAAGCTAACAACAAACATTACACGTAGAGTTACTCATTTCTGCTGAAAGTCCGAAGTCTGAGGCATTTACTGGGACTTTAGAGATACACGACACTTGATCACAACTTATTTTTCCCCTTTCTCCTGGATTGTAGGCTCCACTATCTGCAGCAGTGAGCTTAAAAAGCAGTGTGTGAAAACGCATCTCTCATTTCAAGCTTTGCTTCCTGTAGTGTTTTTTAATACTGCTCTCGTGGGTTGACCTTGGTCAGCTACCAGATGCCCATCCAGCTGCTCTCTCAATCCCCCTCCTCAACAGAATATAAAGGAACAGCATGTGGGTCGAGATAAAGACTGGGAGATAACATACCAGTTACGATCACTGGCAAAACACACTCAACTTAGAACACTTTACCCCCTTTTTCCCCAGGCTCAACTTCACTCCTTCATTCCCAGCTCCTCTACTTCCCCCTGCCCCAAGCAACAAGCAGAGGAGGGAGAACTGCAGGTGTTGCAGTCACAACAGTTTGTCTCGGCTGCTCCTTCCTCCTCACGCTTTTCCCCTGCTCCACAGGCTGCAGTTCCTGGCAGGAGAGCCTGGTCTAGTGTGGGCTCTCCATGGCTGCAGTTTCCTTTGGGGCATATCAGCCTGTGCCAGCGTGAGGTCCTCCATGGTCTGCAGTGTGGATATCTGCTCCAGCATAGTCCTCTCCACGGACCACAGGGAAATCCCTGTTCTACCGTGGTCTTTTCCAAAACTTCCACAGGCTGCAGATGAGTATCTGCACTGGCACTTAGAGCACCTCCTCCCGCTTCGACTCTGACATTTGTGTTCGCAAGATTCTCATGCTTTTCCACCCCTCTCCTCAATCCTCACTGCCTCCGTGGCATTTGCTCTTTTTAAAATGTGTTTTCATAGAGGCACCATGAGCTTCACTGATCAATCCAGCTGTCCTGCAGTGGGTCTGCTGCCAAGCTGGCCGTGCCTGGCACAGAGGCAGCCCCTGGCCCCTTCTCACAAAGGCTTTCCGTGCAGCCCCCCAGCTACCAAAACCTTGCCACCTGCACACAACAGAGGTACTCAGAACAGCTGTAATACCGTTCGTGATTTAACTCAACTATGACCAGAAGAATCACAGCATTTTAATCCGGTCTTCTCCTGGAAGGACCAAACTTGACTAGGGTGTTTTGTTCAAACAAATTACACTTCCCCTCAAAATCTCTAACTTTGTGCTACATAATAAGGATGCTGCTAGAATTTACAGCTGATTTAGCTAAATTAAACAGGCTCTTAGGAAAGTGTCAAGGGAAACAAAAAAAACCCCTAGAAGTCCTTCTTGCCAAAGGTCTTTTCCTTTTTGAAAGGACAGTTTTCAATCACTAAACTATGACACCACCATAAAGATGTGAGATTAGAAAGAAACCAATCTCCTAAAACCCTTTCAGAATTAATAGCTAATTCGTAATCTATTTAATCTCAGATGACGGATCTAGGAGGCTCAAATCATCAGATTTGAGCAAATTGCTCAGAACAATGCCTAATAATTTTTTTTTTTAATTGTGACAGGATATGCTTTTGATGAAAATATTTGTGTAGTATGTGTATGAAGTATTTAGATGTGGAAGTGATTTGCACTGGTTTGCACTGGGACAGCTGGCACATTTACCACCTGGATTTATCTAACCCAACTCCACTGTATAAGATGAGCTGCTCACAAAATAGTCCATTGTTTACCCTGTGCTACAGTCCTTTCCAAATTCAAGAGAATGTAATTTGTGAACCAGTCTCAAGTTCATTTCCCTGTCCCCCTTCCTCCTTCGAAAGTTATGCTTATTTAATCAGTAGAAATTAAGTCCCGGGCTAGGTCTCAGAAGACAGCAGAACACTGGTAGTTAGGAAAAGTAAAAATAAATGCTCTTGTTCCTGGCGTTGAATCCTGAAGTATTGCTCCTGCTCAGAAAACCCTAAACAAGCAGCACATTTGAACAGAAGGCTGGGTTACCTTCTGACTCTATCATTTTGGTAAGTGGTAGTTCTCCTATTTATAATTTCCACAAAAACCTTTCAGTGATGTATACAGACTTTTGACAAAAATCAGATACAGACCAACAGTAATTGCCTTTTAATGACTATAGAAAGTTTTGCTACCTTCTGAAAATTTACCTTAGTTCTGAGAGTTCTGGAAATGCATCAGGAACATCGGGCATCTTGTAAGTTAATCCATTCTGGCCAACCTAAATGGAAGTTTTGAAATGCTCAGTAGATTTTTGAAGAGTAATTTCTTGATATTTAACCTGATTAATTCAAAACTGGAGATGAATATTTGCCAGCAACAAGAAAAATAGGAAAAGCAGTAAGAAGTAGTACTAGTAGTACTAGTCTCCAAACCATGGCAACAAAATACCTGGGCATATTTGGGGTGGCATGTCATAAAAGATGAGTCAATTCTGGAGGATAATAATTCTGTCTTGCTATGTCCTCCATTTAACACTTGGATGACTCAGGAAACACAAAGGACAAGTATAACCCAGGGAAGTTAGAACAGAGAAAGAGAGAAACATTTTGATCTCTTTCACGTGGTTTTATAATCCCTCAGGAAAAAAACGTTTTTAGACAAGGAAAAAAAAGTCTGTCTTCATAGAATGTAGAAACTTTAAATTCTACAAAGCCAGAAAAGCATCTTCCAAGATTAAGAAAGCTTTTGTTTCTAAAGACAAGATTTGATGAAAGACTAAACATTTAGATATAAAGTTTTTGGAGGACACTAAAAAAAATCCTTCCAGAGCGCATCAGTGAGAGGGAGTTTTCGAGTACACACATACAAGATCTGTGAAGAGAAGCTATTTTAACCATGAAAATGAGAAATAGCGACTCTACACGTAAAGGCTTGAGACTGCATATCATTCTCACCTGATAGGTTCTGGGCAGGAAATCCCGTATAGAGAAAAGGATCTTATTTTCTACGGCTGGAGAAACAGTCACAGCTGCACTATGGGGGAGTGCAGCTCCAAAAAAATAGCATATTCAAAGATATTTAGCATAACACTAGTTTCACTAAAACTCAGAAAGACAAACTTGTTGCCCTGACTTCAAGTTTGTTCTAACAAACTTTTCAAAGCCCGAATGACAGTTTCACTTTCCTAGCACCAGCAAAACAACGAAGTGCAGTCACTCAGACTGTTCCCTTGAGTTTTGCAACAATGCCGTGTGCCCTTGACGAAATTGATACTCGGCGTCTGATAACTTAAGCAGCAAAAGTCAGTGCACAGACCTGCAGCACTGCTTCTGCTGTCGGAACAGGCAGTGGCAGTTCGGCAAGCAAGCCATAAGAGGGAGCAGCGGGCTTGTCTGGAGCGTAGCTTGAAGAAACTGGTTCAGCAATGGGCACGGCTGCCATTGTTCTATTTGTTTCTTGAGGTGGGTATGGAGGAAGAAATGGAAACCCCTGAGGAGCATAAGGAGGCATTCCAGCTGGTTTGTTGAAAAGGCTAAAAACAAACAAAAAACCATAACCATGAGCAACCAACTACTTACAGCACATTTCTTATCATCTGAATTATGATTACTAGACCACATACAAGATGTAAGATTGAATTTTTAAAAGACAATAAACTTGGCATTTTCTGTTCTCGGTTACTTCCAAGGTAGTCAGTTTATTTTATGTCTGATACTGCAACATAATACACAACTCCATTAAGCTATATTCTTGTAAAGCAGCCAAATACACACTCACACTCTTAATTATACAAGAACTACTTCTCAAAAATTTATGAGAGTGTAAATTTAAATTGCTGCCATCTAAAAGCCCTGAGAAATGCATCTGTGTCGTACACCAGTTCTTACGGTATAGCATTTAAGAGCGCAGGCAACACACACACAATTACTTCTAAATAACATGAATGTTTTTTTTAAAATTCACAACTGCAGCTGCATCTAAACCCAGTATCATTGTCAGTCACAAGAACCATAGTTGTACTGATAGAGCTGTAATCTTTCAGACCACTTTTGCATACTTAATACAATTATTTAAATTGCACTTCTGTTGCACAACTGGGCAACAGAAGCTGCCTCTAAACCTAGGAGATTATGAACAGAATATGAAGAAACACAACTTCTCAGATAATTATCTACAGAAAATTCAAGATTTCATCTAATAATGTAAACATTCATTCTTTTCAAGAAAACAGAAGCACATAAAGTTACATCAGCATGTTGCTACAGTAACTCCCATGAAATCTAGTGTTTCTTCTGAAAACAATCATGCCATCAAGCACGTACATGAAATTGTGCAAGGGCAGGGAATCTACGTCTCCCAGTACATTCACTACATTACTCCTGTTCCTGCCCTCCTAATACTCAGTTTCATTCCTCTTTTAAAAACGTAAGTTCATACACACAGTTCCATTCATCATGTTTATAGATACTTACTATGGAAATGATGTTGAGCTAGGAGCCAGAACTGGAGGATTCTTCCAAAACTCGTCTAGTAAACTTTGAATAATTTTTCCAAGATCTGAATGCATTGTAAACTGGTAAAAACAAAAAGCAAAAACCAATGTGGAACAAAAATTATGTCTGGAATCCAATAGTTCCAAAATTTGCTGAACATGACTGTTTATTATACCCACACAGCAGTGCTGGAAGCTTTTTCAGAGACATATCAGGTAATGTAAACTTTGTATACATAAGCTTCAAATAAAGTGATAAAGCCACCCAGAACTGAACAGAAACTAGAAGTCTTTTGTATATTCCGTTATCAACAGAGAAGTAATCAAGTACAACATTTCTGATGAACAAACCCCAAAACCCACCTTAGTTACCAAGTTACATTCGGGAAAACAAAGAAAGGGAAAAAAAATTAAATCAAGATTTGAGACAAAAAGCATTAAGTGCATTCTGAAGAAATCTTAACCTCCACCCTACCCCACCTCAAAAAACTACCACATCCTTGTTGGCAGAGGAAAGGAGAAAGAGGAAAAAACCCAAACAAAACCCAAAAAACCAAACAGCACATAAAAATCCTGACTATTAGAGCTAAAACCTTGACATCGTTCTAATAGGATTAGGGTAGAAAGAACTACATTACGAAACAGTCTTAAAGCATCCTTCTCTCTTATTTGGAACACACTGTAGAGAAACAAGAACTGTGGTTTTGGTACTAACAAGAAAAGTGAAAGAAACTTTCTAAGCCATCGTAACAGTTTTAGATACACGTAATAGTCAGCTCAGTAATGGCAGCAGTAAAAGAATAAATAGTAGTAGACTCAACACTACTGAATTCTGTTTCCAGGCTCAACAAAGTACAATTTGAGAGGGATTAGGATCTGTACTAGTCTTTTTTACCAGAAGTGTTATCAATAATCTAGTGTGACTTGTATTAAAATTGCTATTAACAGCAGATATATGTGAAGCTGCAAATTATACATACATTACTTATTAATGGACTGGTCACATAGACTCCCTGCTTGTCCATTAAATGATGTCTCACAGGTGGGAAAACACTGATGACTGGTTTTTCCTGAGGAAACTGAGGTGGAAGCAAGCTGCAAATAGAAGAATAATCGTTACTACAGCTACATCCCATGATAAAGTTTGCATAAGAAGGCTTCTTATTATGGAGAGAAAAAGTATTATTAATTACATAAACTTACTTTTCTCTGAGAAGAGTTATGGAGAAATACAGAATGAATGAAGAACACAAAAGGATTATTCAGTTACAAAATTAGAAGTCAGACAGATTAGAATACCAGACTTCCACAAACTGAACAGAGCATTTACTGGTCAAAATTGTAGTATAACAATGAAGCACTTATGTCCACAGATAAAGAAAAAGCTGTAGCATAAGGAGAACATTTTCTTATACAAATGTTATTACTACAAAGACAATGCAGTGTAACCTGCAAGAACATGAGGCAAGTTATCAGGCTAAAGTAATAAAAAACTTGTGAACAGAATACCATCAACATCTGCCAGAGCAAAGTACCCCCCAAAGTAAATTCACAGGAAATGTTACAATAAATCACTTAAATTATGATGCAAAAGCTTCACTGGAGTAAGAGTTAGGAGTTACAGCAGATTAGTAAATTACTAATTAAGTTTATTTTCAGTTGTAGAGGATTCAAAGCCATCAGAAACGCTCAAGCATTTTCTCCTGCTTACCTTCAACTAAAACCAGGCAGGTATCTTATGAGCTGAGCACAGCAAAATATAGTTTTGTGTTCAGCTGTGCATCTGCATGTTGTACAGAACTGTATCACTACAGTACACATCACTACAACTACTAATGCAAATCCAGGTTATAGATTCTGAAATTAGTTATGAGATGGGAGCCATCTATGTTCTATTACTACTCTCTTAAAGAAGATTTTGAATTTTCAAGATGTGCATAGAGATATCTTACTCTACTTACATGTTAATATTAATTGTCAAGTTGTTTATAGTGAATGGCAGTCGATATTCCACATCTTTCTGAATTTCTGCAATGCTGTCAAAGAAGAAATTGTTAGCATCCAATTCGCGGTTTATGTAACAGCCTAAAGTCTAAAAAAAAAAAAAGGCATGTCCTCAGACCTTTGTATTTAGTTTAGTTCAGAAAATCTTTCTAAGAATAAAATTGAAAATGCTGGAATAAGTCAATATGCTTCAGAATGCTATACAGAATATTAAGATTAAAACAAAAAATAGTAGGTTCAACTTTTAAATCTCATACATGATGACAAGCAATGGGAATAGAGTAGGAGAAAGTGTATTACTGATCTGACAACAGTCTCAATTTATTTTTCTCCACTTACTGGCTTAAATTAAGACACTACATCCATGATTTTTTTTATATACTGAATTTTACCTGACAAAACATTCACTTTCCCAAGGAATTACACTTGGCTCACCACTAAGTATTGCTCTGTAACACTGCCTTCAGATCAGTATTTAGAACACACGTTACACTAAGCCTTCTTCCTTAATAGATTAGCTTACTATTTAACAGTAATTTTTCCCACATGCACCAAGTTCTATGTACTTGCACAGACATTATCGAGAATTCTCTGGAGAAGAGCTACTTGCAAGAATGTAAAGCTCTGTAGTCCAGTGACACTCAAGACAGACCAACCTGTAAGCACTGGGTGAAGAAACATGTATTTTATAAAATCTGGTAAGACTGAATCCAAGTTTGCTTCTTCTCCTGTGACAGGTAAGTTACTGAGAAAAATCTTCAAATCAGCTGCATTAGAATCACAGAATTCATAGAATCACTAATAGGAGGTTGATTTCAATACTCAAAGCACTCTACAATTTGTATGCATAGCAAGACTGTTTTGAAAGATGGCATCTCAAAGAATGCAGAGGAGGAGGAGGAGTACAAAACTTAGCTCAGAAGCAGAATTTCTGGACAATATGAACGTACCTAAGCTGGGACTGGGAGAGAAAGGAGGGCAAAAAATAAGCTTCATCTTAAAATGCCTCAATCAAAACAAACTTAAAAAGCAGACTGATTCCTCTTTCACATATTTTTCTTGCCTGCACCTGGTTAGTAGTATTCTTCTCCCTCACCTCTCTAAAGCTTCCTTATAAAGAGAGGGAACACAGCTCCAATCGGGAATAATGGCAGCTGAGTGTTCCCAGAAAGCCTTTTCACACCCAGCTTCAGAAACGCCCCTCCACCCACCAGCAGGTACACCCCATACAATTACTTCCTCAAAAACCTCAAAATACATTACCTACAAATGTGTGTTGAATGCAGTGCTAGGAGTGTTTTGTATCCCTCCAAAGCATTATTTGCACAGAGAATTTAAAACTCCAGTTTTCAGAGCTTCAGGAATAAATGGAGTGAGACACAAACCTAGCTATGCACCTTGCTTTCCGCAGCCCAGCCTTATTCCTCTCACAGACAACTCAGCATCTGCTCTTTCTTCGTGAAATCACGCATTGTTTGAAGAAACTACCAGATATCTTCAGAATAGAAGAATTCAAATCAGAGTTTAGGGCTCTAATGTCATACACCACATACCGAAATCGCCACCTCCTCATTCTTAACTGAAGGATTCTCCCTGGAATCTCACACACACAATTCCTGCCCTGTAATCATCTGTCATGAACGTTAATAGCCTGTTACGAAATCCTTTTGAGACAGGCATATAATTATGCTACACTCACGTGCACAATCTATAGGAACTGGGGAGGAAGAGAATAGGGAGACAGAAACAAGAAATTTAGAATCTCATTTAGATGTTCAAACTGTTATAATCTCCTTTAAGCAAAACTTTAAACCAATAAACTTAGTTGTCCCTTCCCCAAGTGGGAGTCGGTACACTAGAAAAAAATGACACATTCTTAACTTTGGCAAGAACAACAGCAAATGCAAGAAAACTGTTTTTTAAACACAAAAACCTGATTTCAAGCTCCTAACCTGTGAGGGATCCTGAAAAGGAAGACTAGCTACTTTAATGAAATTAAGATCAAATATACCTGGGCTTTTATGACCTAAGACAACACAAACCAAACTTACCTAACTTAGGTAACTACACCATGCCAAGTATTTTATTTTGAGCATTTCAGCAAAGAGCAGCTGGGATACACATAAATGAATGGCAAAACATACTTATCAGACAAAACAAACATCAGAATGACATTTATTTAACCATTGCTGAAGAAACAATGTTGTTGCACTGCTTAAGGCCTATTCCTATCCTATAGATCTGTGCTGCTATGGAGTCCCTAAGCAAGCACATCAGTCCCACCCAAAAAAGCCTTTGCACTTTTCAAAACTTGCACAAGTACACATACCTTTTTAAAAGCACAGAATTTGAGACACTGTTACTCAGATTTATTCAGTAATACAAATCTCTTATGAAACCCATACATTTTGCCAGAATTTACTCCTTTGTTTGCCTAATTTTGGTTTGTTTGGGTTTTTTGTTTTGTTTTTTTACACCTATCATCAAGAGAGATCAGGTAGGCTAGTTTATACAGCTGCAAAGTTACATTCGAGCAGCTACCATCTCTACCAGCTACCATCTCTATCAGCTACCTGGTGAGGCCGCATCTGGAATATTGTGTCCAGTTCTGGGCCCCTCAGTTCAAGAAGGACAAGGAACTGCTTCAGAGAGTCCAGCGCAGGGCCACAAAGATGATGAAAGGAGTGGAGCATCTCCCTTGTGAGGAAAGGCTGAGGGAGCTGGGTCTCTTTAGCTTCGAGAAGAGGAGACTGAGGAGGGACCTCATTAATGTTTACAAATATGTAAAGGGTGACTGTCATGAGGATGGAGCCAGGCTCTTCTCAGTGGCATCCAATGATAGGACAAGGGGAAATGGATATAAGGTGGAACATAGGAGGTTTCACTTAAACATGAGGAAGAACTTCTTCCCAGTAAGGGTAACAGAACACTGGAACAGGCTGCCCAGAGAGGTTGTGGAGTCTCCTTCTCTGGAGATGTTTAAAACCCGCCAGGACACGTTCTTGTGTGATCTGATCTAGGTGGTCCTGCTCGGGCAGGGAGATTGGACTAGATGATCCTTTGAGGTCCCTTCCAATCCCTAACATTCTGTGATCTCCCTACCCCTCATCTCCATTCCTGGCTGCAGGGTCCATTCCCTCTCTGCCTATGCTTGAACTGATGCCTGCACAAACAGGTAGAAAGCTGACTTAGAAAAAAAACACTGATCACCTTTTTTGAGGACTTAACTTGGGGTGAGCTCATTTCCCTGGTGGAGACAAAAGGATAGAAATAAAAGGCTAAGTAAGGCTAGTCCAACAAAAACTTCTAGTTAGGTACGCTGCTGCATACCGACAGAGAAAGCTCCTTAGACAAGTGAACCGTCTTTCAAAAATATTTCCAAAATTGGCTCTGCACAGCTGTAAGTCTGAGCAAGCAACAATACTTAGAAATGCTGTCATAGTTATGTTTCCTGTCTGATAATTAAAAATATTAGGATAGTGAGCAATCTGCAATTATTAAACTTGGAAATACAATAAGTATCTCTTCTACTCCCAGCCTTACTCTGACATAACAGAAAACATTCTCCTCCCTTCCTTTTTCTGGACTGTTTTAGAGGCATCTATCGTTCTACTTCAACAGACATCCCAAGAAGCATGATGAATGCTTAACCATTCGCTGAAGATATAACTTGAAATACATGAGGTGTAGATCTCCTTTTAAAAGACAAACACTTAAACCACTAAAACTTAGGCAAAACTGATCAGCATATTGACAAGCTGGAGTCCCTCGGGATAAAGGAAGGTGTTTTGCTGTAAAAAAAATGGGGCTATTGAACAGAAAAAAAACCCCCCTGCCTCTGGTGTGCATCTAAATAAAATAATTTACTAAGGAACAGTCAGTCATGAACACGTTAGCACTGGACATGAGAAAAACAGCTCGCAGAGGCAGTGGGGCTGCTGTGCCGGTTAAGAGCACTGCGACGCACCGCTCCCTTACGCTGTATATTTAATTGTTAACTTTTAAAGAACTACGCTCCTACAACCAGCTTCCGGAAAGAGGGCTCTATTCAACACAGGCAATCCCTACCTCTTTGTAAACTCCGAGCCTCACTAAGACGACGATC